TCTTTTTGCCATACACCTACTTCCATCCATCTATATCTTTCTTTCGTCCTGTCCGGTTCCAGCATTAAATTATCGTTGTTATTACGAACGAATTGAAATAATACAAATTGAAGAACAGTTCGATCGCTAGGGATAGTGTAAACCGTAAAGTACAAATAGAACGTAGATTTTCCGAAAGCGGACAAGCGAATGGGGTCCATCGTTTCCTTTTTTTTTTTTCTTGTTTTCTCCGAGGGCCAGTACAACGTGGAGGAATGTGATGTGCGAAATATTGGAAACTCGACGGATTGAACGGTGCGATGACCGAGAGAAGAAGAAGAAAAAAAAGAAAGACGTGATAAGAGAGCGACGTGTAGGAAGCTTCGTAGAGATTGTTAAAAGAAAAAAGAAAAAAAAAAAAAAAAAATTTCGCATTCCCCTTTTACTGTAAGTTTCGACAAAGCCCGGCGTGTGCCCGCGGACGAAATGTCAGGGCCGAAGGATAGAAGGAAAATACAGAGAGGACGAGAAACGAAGGATTGATTGTCAAGGATTTATCTCCACGCGGCACAAAATCAGAGTGAAACGGGTAAAGCGGCGTATGCAATATATTTTTCTACCTTTTACTTTCTAAAAAAAAAAGAAAGAAAAAAAATAACGTCGTCTCACGTCGTCGAGGGATTCATTTTTATAGGGATTGTAAAGCGAGTTCGCAAGCTCCGGTACGCGATGCACATTTAGCAAGTCAACACGATGATCGTCGTTAAATTATTATATTGTCTAATTATCGTACACGCGTAGCGCAACGTGGTTCTGATCGAAAGGCGAGCCGACCGATCGAGATCTATACCTGACGATTGGACCGCGGCTCTTCATGCAGTTTCGTACAATCTTTACAAATTGAGTGAAAACTTCAACTTGAACGGAAGGAAGAAGTTATTTGTTTCCTAAATGTGAGGAACTTTATTTTTGATATTTTACAAAATCTTTGCATTTGTGCACGTTCTTGTATATTCTTCGCATTATTCGCGTTCGTCGTGAATGCATGGATTTCCGCAGTCTACAAGTGATTAACACGTGGATGATGGGGAAACTTTCAGAGGCCAAACTGACTGACTTAATATTTTATTTAATTATTTAATTTCATTACATATAGATATACGATTAATATTCAGTTCTAAAAATGATAATAAATTTTAAGAAACATCTGCTTCTTCAAGAACTTTTTTCCCTATGCTCGTCAATTGATCAGTGTGGCTTCTGAACTCGTTTCGTAAAACTTGGATGCTGAGCGTGTTAATTTAACAGAGAGCCTTAAGAGAGTGTTATGTAAGTAGAGTATTATACGTTTCTCGCTCACGGATTTTTTCTGCGATTGTTTTATTACTTTCTGCGGACACCCTTTACATTTTCGACTATTCTTCGTTTTGCTTCTTTAATCGAAGACGCGGCGAGGAGGAACGCTTCGAGCGTTCTTCGCTAATCAGAGATGAGAAATTGAAACACACGAGGACAATAATTATTTTTATAAAGCTTTTACGTGCGTTCGCGAGGATCTTTGCGATTTGTGTTGAACGAACAAGGGACTTAAGCGTTGACTTATTCGAGTGTAAAGAAAGACAAAAGAAGAAGAAGAAGAAAAAAAAAACAAAACGTGTGTGAATACTTCTACCGAGTATCGTGTCGAACATTCTTTTTGTTCTTTCCTCTGTCCGTCTGAGCGTGCAAGACGTCGAACTTGATATTCTCGACGTGTCTTTTATGTGATATGTATCTCATTCAGGTTGAAACGACGAAGAGAATCGCGAACAGTTATTTTTCCATGATTTATCGATGAATTATTTCTTTAAAATTTATTACACGTTCCGTTCACTATTTTTCTTTCTTTCTTTTTTTTTTAGCGATTTTTATGAACCAATTGCGTTTTCAATGGGAATACGCGAATGTAACGAATGTGTTCTTTTCTTTAAAGTTGCCCCTCAAAAGTGCCAATCGTTCGAAAAATTCGTTTCACGTTTAACCTCTTGCGCTGGAATCGACGTATGTCGAAAATTTTTTTTTTTTGTCCCAAAGATTTGCAATCTTTCTTTAATTTTAAGTATATTAAAATGTAACCCATAATAAATGTATTACTTCCTAGTAACTTTTACCCTTCTTATAAAATGGTAAGTGAAATTGATGGTACGAGTTGAAAAAGTAATTTGATCACGCATCTCCAATAATCGTAATAAACCAGTTGCCAGCGCAAGGAGTTAGCAGAAAAATTTACAATAGAAGAGAAACTGTACAGAGTGGACTGGGAAACG